TAGGATCTAATAGCACAGGAAACAAAGACATAAACTTGACAAATAGGAGTACATCCACCTGAAAAGCTTTGTAACAGAAAAGGAAAAATCAACAGAGTGAAGAATGGTCTAAAATATTTACCATCTATTTGACTGACAGAGGTTAAATATCTAGAATCTATAAACAATTTGAAAGACCAAACAACATAAAATCAAGTAACCAATTAAATCAAGAACAAAGTCTAAATAGATGCCTCTCAAAAAATAAATTTATGTGACCCATAAATATATGAAAATATTGAATATATTTAGTCATCAGAAAAGTTCTAATAAACTGCAGGCTTTAATTTGAAAGATGCAGGTACATGGTAATCAAAAATATAGATAATAGAACAGGATTTTCTGATCTTCCCCTAGAAACCAGAGTGCAAATGTCACCAAAGCTGGAAACTGACTCACATGTGATCTTCCTGCACGTCAATGGAGCCCAGGCAATGAGGGGCTGACACTCTCAGCTGCCTAGAGCCCCCATAAGTGATTCTCAAGCTCACTGTGTTGGTATGTCTTTCTGCAGGTCCAAAAGCACAGTATAGAACTTTCTTTTTCTGATTTACATATCCCAGTGTGGGCTCTCATTAAGAAATATTACAGGAAATCAGAGAGAAAAACTGGGTCTGGCAAAGATGCTTCCAAAATTATAATTTGAAACAGACAGCAGACATGTTAGTGTGGTCAACTTTTGGGAGTTTTGTCATTTATATGTTGGCCATGAAGTACACTCAAAATGTTCTTCTAAATATAATCAGCAAGTCTGAAATCAAAGCAAGAAAATTTATATGAAGTCCTAAATAAAAAGTAGAAGAATTATGCTAAACATAAATAATTTGACAAACATATTTATACAGACACATCTACATACATATAGGCATGATGAAAATATATGGTGAAAGTTAAAAATTATAAATCTATTTTTAAAGACTACATTGCCATTAAACATACTCAAAATACTTTCCCTCACTTTGGACACATTTATTCCTTTGTTCTTGTTTCCTGAAACAATTCTGGAAATCCTCTTTTTCATCTTTTTGTGGCTGTCTCAAAATCCTGAATCAATTCAAAATATTTAGGGCAATTTCTGTCAAATAAAAATATTACATTTTGTCCTTAACCACAGCATCTGGTTCTGTTTCTTCTCCAACGTCAAAATAATCACAAAAGTTAAATATTTTGAACTGATTGAGGACATCAAGGCAGCTGTGATTTTGCAATGGAAGACACTCAAAAAGAAAGACTTCCAAAACTACTTTGGGAAGTGGAAAGAATGAAGGGCTGAAGATGTTTAATGTAAGAGGAAGTATTTTGAGGGACAATAGTGGTGGTGTTTCATTATTATAATAATTTTTTAGAAAATTTAAACATTTACTGTATGTCCTGATCGCACTTCATATACATGTGCTATACAACCATGTGTATATAATATTCTATTTCCTTATATTAACAGATTTTGATAATAAATATTTATCATCATCACCATTTTATAAAGCATGGCCCAAATGGAAAGTTGAGAATCACCTCAGACCTGCTGAATGAGAATCTGCATTGAATTTAAGATCAATTTTTTATCTATATGTAGTTTAATAGGCTATGCTTTAGAGAATGATACTTCAACCAATTGATTTTTTGTTTGTTTTGATTTTATCTAATGGGATCCTTTTGAAAATTTTATTTACAGTGATATATTGAAATTACACCCAAATTTATTTTCTAATTAATACAAAATTAAATTTGAGATTTAAATGATAAAGATTAAAAATATAATTATTAGTCTTTGACATTTTTAAACACCTTGAAAATAAAATGGAGCAATGGCTTTATAAAACTTCAGGAATTACAAAGAAAACAAAATAAATTAATATTTCGAGTACTTGTGTTGGAGATGTTTTAACTTGGATTTGCTTACATAACATGACCTCAGGATGCTGTTCATTGCCTTGAGTAGTCATTGCTACTTCAGTGCTCAGTTATGAAGATGAGATAACATTTACCTACAGAATGTGTCATAATGACAGGTGTAGTAGGATAAGCTTCCTAAGCAATGGTGAAGACAATCACAATTAAGTCTCCCTCAGAGCCACCCTCTGGAATCATATATAGTTAATGCCAAGGAAAGGCCATTAAATGTCACAAAAAAAACCCCCACAATAAATATAAGGGAGAAGCCCGGTCTCAAAAATGTTAGAGAAGTAATGGCGTGATGGCATTCAATTATCAACATGGAGCCCACAGGTGTGGATATCTCTGGTGTAACCAGGGACACATGAAAGCAGCAGTCAGGGTGCTTGGAGGTAGAGAAACCCATCCTGTGCCCTGCACTCTAAGCCAGCAAACCTGGTCTTAACCTAGCCCCTGCCTTGTCTTTGTTCCCAAAGCCCACCACATAAGGACTGACTCTTGTCCTCCAGATACATATGTTGAAATATTACCCTCAGTTTAGGTGTATTTGGGCTTGTATGAAGGGAAAGGTTAAAGAAGGTCCTATGGGTGGAGGCTAATGCTGTAGTACTTGTGTCCTTAGAACCAGGGGCAAGAAGGAGAGCTCTCTCCATCTCTGCTCATGGACATCAAGGAAAAGCCTTCTGAAGGCACTGCAAGAAGATGAACCATTAGGAGAAAGAGAGGCTAAAACAGAAATGGCTATCTTTTGAACCTTGTTTTGGGATTTTCCAGACACTAGAATTGTGAAAAATTAAATTTCTCTTGTTTAATCCACCCAACCATAGGTATTTTGGTTCCCTATAGCAGTCTGGGGAGACTAATAAACCATCCTGACCTCCTCTTATCAGTATCAGCCTCAAGAAGCTCCTCATGGAATGGAGACTCAGCTTTTCTTCTCTTCCTCACTTTGCCCTGACTCCCTGTTTGAAGAAGGCAGATTCAGGCTTGATCCTCAGTGCTTGCATTAAGTACAAATGTTTGCTTGTGGATGAAGTTGTTCACCTGTTTGAATCTCTGATCAGAATTGCGACCACTGAATGAATTACTTGCCTGGTATTAATGTTTGGAGATGCTCAAGATTGCTACCCACTTAGACACAAGTGGGGACATTGTGTAGGTCTCATCTCCAGCCTTCTTCATTGTTTCTCTGGAGAGAAGATCAGGTCCCATACAAGGCCAGACAGAGTATCAACAATCTCTGAATCTGGCTCTTAGCAGCAGTGAGGCCTCACTCCAGTGCCTGCTGGGTCACACTACCTCCTGGACACAATGACTGCTGGAGATAGAGAGGTGGGTCAGGAACAGATGTTACTCAGAGCATCCTCAGAGGGATATCTGAAATCACACCCTATCTCCCTTCCCCAATCTTCTCTTGCAGTTAACCTCCAGTGAGTCTCATGGGCAACATTGACTTGAGCCTCCATTGTGTTCCTTACTTTCCTACTCTGAATACACAAATTTAATTCACCCTACTTCACTCCTTTTTTTTTTTTTTTTTGGTACTGGGGATCAAACTCAGGTCCTTGTGCTTGCACAGCAGGTGGCAAAACCACTGAGCTAAATCCCCGGCCCCTACCCTACTTCACTCTTACTTGTCCACATCCTCAGGTTTGTAGAAATCACAATGAACTGTGCCTTTCTTGGCAACTTGGTCATGCTTTGTCCAGAGGAAGAGAGACTCAAACTTCTCTGAGGAGTTTATAAATTCCACTCTCTTCTTATATTCATTTCTCTTTTTATATTCTGGACTCCACAGAGCCCTTTGTTCTTCTTAATTTCTTTCATTAGAAGATCTAATATAAAGAGACAAGGACCATCTAAGAAGACATAACATTTGGGAATTATATGCATCCCTGAATAGCAAAATTGTAGGTTTCAATATATTTTCAATGGTCTGAGATGGGAAGATGCTACCCAAGCCTTCTGGGCTCCAATTCACTGTTGCATTTGGAGGGGTTACAGAGGAAGTACTGGAATCTGAGAAGGACAGCAGGATGGTGGATATGAATTCACAGCAGAAAGAAGGCCAGACTGAGTCTTGACAAAGACTGGGAGTGGGAAGAAAGAATTTGACATTTGTGTCAATAACTGCTGCCTTGGTATCTTGAGACTAGGGACCATTTATTAAGGAAAAGACACAGAGAGAAAGATGATTTTTGAGACTCTTGTGACCAACATCCAGGTAAAAGATGATGGTGGGTTACAGATGTGCACCTGAAGGGACTCGTGATTCCTTTTTGTTTTGTTTTGCTTGAGAATTTGACCTCTGATTGTTGGTGCTGAGGAAGATAACTTGGTTCTTGCTAGGCATCTTTTGAGTAACTAAGGTTTTCTTTCTATATCACGTTTCCTCTTCCTGTCACATTTCCACTTCTGAAAGGAAGTGACTGATGTGTTGCACTAATGACAGCCCCAACTCTTCCCCAAATGCCTCACTCTAGTGTGTTCTCTTTTGCCTTCTTGCTACTTTCATGTTTCTCCTCCATTGTCTTAGCAAGAAAATAATCTATCACATTTTCTCTCTGATTGTTACCTAATAAAAATGTCATCATAATTGATCACACTTGTTAAATTCAGAACGATAGCAATCATACAAAATAGCATTAAAAGATCTAAATCTGTACATTCAGAAATTTGCAGAGTCCTGCTACTCTTAGGAACACTCCCAGTGCCTCTCCCAGAACTGTTCTAAGAGCAGGTATGAAAACCTCCTCTGTGTTCTCACTTCACTCACTGTCTGCTGACAATCAGATTTTCTCATTAGGGTCCTGATTTACATTCTGGATGGCCTTGGACACGTCATAGCCTTTCTCTGTCTCAGTATCTTCAATTGGAAGATAAGGATAAAACATGCTTCTCCAACAAAGTTCAGTTCAATTTGTGACGTATTAAAAGCATTCAATAAAATTTTCCCATTCTTTGTTGCATTTGTTAAGTTTGCATTTCAAGACATATATGGTAGATTAGAAATTTTTCGATATGCTCCATTGAAAAGTGCAACATATTTCCATGTATCATCAATCTAGGCTGGACATGTGTACTCAAGACCAGGGCACAGGAGGACTTGTAGCCTCAATCCCAACTTCTTGGGAGGTGAGAGAGCTGCTCTAGTCTATTGGAGAATAAGAGGCCACTTGAAGGAGAGAGAGGTGCCCAAATATCAGCCAGACCAATTTCCAGGTATGTAAAGAAGACATGGTACAGAGATATAACAGCAGGGGGAAAATATTTGGTTTTGGTATTATTCAGAATTAACAGTACATAGAAATTGTCAGTTTGAATTTCTATAGATTTTACTCTTCTCTCTGTGCCTATGAAGTAGAGAGGCCCCATCTCCTCCCATTAGAAGGGTACAAGGAGGTCTGAGACTCCCCACACATCTCCAGCACCAAAGATACACAGGCATGTGAGATCAACAGGGACTTCTCAGCCTAGCTGACCCAGCTGCACACAGCTGGATGTGGCAGCCCAAGGAAGCTGTAGAGAAACCACCTGGCCAATTCATACAACCACAAGAAATAATAATGTCTTATTTCAATCTTCAGTCTAGAACAGTTCTATAGTTTTTACTTGAATTTTACAACCTTGTCCCTTTTCAAGATTATATACCACTTAATTGGCAGAATGTCTCTCAATTTTAATATCATTTTTATTTCTTCATGATTAAATTCTACTTATGCTCTTTTTTACAGTAATATCCAGAACTGTTGCTCTGTCCTCACTGAATTCTGTCAGGTGGTGCCTGATTTCAATTGCTCCTTTGATTGATGATACTCAGTTTGATTCCTGTTTGAAGGTGGTATTTCCTAAACTTCTCCCCTGTACAGTTTACTTTGTTTCCTGAAGTGAATCAGAAGTCTTTGCATAATTTCTGAGTAATCTTTTCCTAGTTGTAATGTGAAAACATGGGTTCATATATTTATAATAGTTTATAATATGCTATCATTGTAATTTATTTTCATTGACAGATTTTCTCACATTTGTTCAATGTGAGACCAGGTCAAACTGGTTTCTAACTCTCACTGCTTTCTCTCCAAAATTTTCTGAGCCCTGTCTTACCTTTGGCACAAGAAGTCTAGGCTCATATTTTATATTTCTTTTCTCAAAGCTAAAGTCCTTCATTTCTCCAAGAATGGCTGCTTCATTTTAGTGTAGATAGGTGTTCAAAAACAGATTTAGAGTAATGCTGTTCATGTGACTGGTGTGTAATTATTTATAGGGCAAATTATCTCTCTATCTAGCTACCTATCTAATTTATTAATCTATCTCTCAGTCTTACATGTCCTTCTATCTTTGGACAGTTGTTCTGATGAGTAACCACAAAAAAGAGTCAGTGAATCAGGTCAAAGAAAAATTTCTGGACATTATAATCTTCACAGATACAAAATGCAGAAGTCTTCTAAAAATCTTGACATTATGGGGGATGTGTTTCCTTCAAAGAATATCATAAATGAAAAAACAAACCAAAAAAGCATGTCAATGCAGAGTGTGGTGGCTTACGCATGTAATTTCAACATTCAGGAAGCTCAGACAAGTTTGAGCACCATCTTGGGTATGTATTAAGATCCTATCTTTAGGGACCTTCAGTCCCTAAAAAATACATATCATGAACAATGAAAATAGGAAACAAAACACAAACCAATGCAAGGGAAGCCAAATAACACTCTACTCATTGGTGAGTAGTGTAATTCTCTCAAGTTACTCACAGAAACAAAAAGATTTTTGCACAGAAATATATACTGTTCTGGTCCAGCCTGGGGCATGTTGGGACCTTGGGTCTTTGCTGAGTAACTGAAACAAAACTAGTTCTGCTCATGTCGTGTTGATTTGCATCTCCCCAGAGCACAGCCCATGGCCCTGAGAACTTTATAGGCTGCTCACACTCTGTGCAGGAGTCAGTCCCAGTCAGGACACAGCATGGACCTGAAAGCCCCTGCTCAGCTCCTGGGGCTCCTGCTGCTCTGGCTGCCAGGTAAGGAAGGACAGCACTGGGAATTTTGCTCAGCCCTTGTAGTTTGGGCTGCTTAGATCTTCAGAAATTCATCTTCTAATATTATCAATTGTATTGATACTGGTTTTTGTGTTTCCAATTTCAGATGTCAGATGTGACATCCAGATGATCCAGTCTCCATCCTCCCTGTTTGCATATCCAGGAGACAATCACCATCACCTGCAGGGCCAGTCAGAGTGTTGGCAATTATTTACACTAGTATCAGCAGAAATCAGGAAAAGCCCCTAAACTCCTAATCAGTTACACAACCAGTTTAGAATCTGGCATCCGCCCGAGGTTCAGTAACAGTGGATATGGAACAGATTTTACTCTTGCCATCAGCAGCCTGGAGCCTGAAGATTTTACAAATTATTACTACAGAAATGGTAACAACCTATTTGCCACAGTGATACAAGACATAACATAATCCTCCCAGAGAAGTGGAAATGTGAGCTGGGCTGCCACAGCTGCTTCTATTGGTGACACTACCAGCTAAAACCTTTTCTCTGATGCATCCAGACTCTGAAGGTCTGGTAGAAAGATCCAGGAAGGCTGCTTTGCAGAGAAATGTGTGCTGTGTCCTCCTCCTCAGCCTCAGAAGCTTAGAATTAATAAAGTGTCTCTTGTTCTAATGAAAGACACAAACTATTACACCTAAGATTAATACAGGAAAGGAGGAGTGCCAGCATTTTTTAATACAGGGAATGAGATTCTAATCTGCATCCTTTATAGGACTGGGAGTATGGTAATCAAAGATGCAGATATAAAATCAGAACAATTACAACTAAAATAAAAATGAAATGAAAATTTTCTTATTCTCTACAAATGAAAATGCCTCTAATCTTCCATTAGAAGCTATAGCAAATCTGCCAAGGATATTATAAACAGGAACTTTTTTTTCTTTCCACTACTTGATATTACAGGGCCTTACCCATTGTGAGTGCCCTGCTGCTGAGCTACATTTCAAGCCTCTAGGAACTGTTTAAATGAAGGTCATTTGAGTATAAACTACAGCCTTGAAATTGCAGGTGGCATGAGCATTATGGAAGAAGACATTAGGATGGAGATAGTCACTGATGATCTCATAGAAGCCAGAGGACAGATTCTACTGAAAGTATGGGCTGCCTCACCCTATGGTCCTCAGATCTAAGAAGCCCAGTCTTGGTGATGCTCATGATCTCAGCCACCTGAGCACCTCACCTGGTGGTTACACAGTAATCACCTCTGTGCATATGTTTGCTTGAGGGAAAGGATGCTGCAGATATTGTGGAAGAATTCTATTACTCACTTTCAAGTCTCAGATGCAGCTTGTCATTGACAATTCTATAGGAAAGCTGAAAAGTAAAAGGGATTATGGGAAATGTGCTTGCAGAAGGTGTGATGATAGCAAGTTATCAGCTGGACCCAATAATGATCCCTATTCTACCAACTCCCAGAGTGTTGACAGGGAGAATGTGGCCCCAAAATATTTTCACATATGCTGCTAAGAACCATTATCAAAGAGGAATTGTAAAAATAAATCACCATTAAGTCATAAAGTCAGTCAGAAATAGCATGAAATATGTAAGATCATTTGACAACTGACAAAGCTTAATTGACAAAGTAAATAGCAAAATAAAGTAAACATGAATGTAGTATTGTTTTCCTTCCTGCTCAAAATTTATTCAGAATTCAACGGCATCATCACCATTAGTGCGAGCATGTCACAAATGGAAAACTGAATGAATATCTGAATTTTAACAAGGTAACAGGTGATCTACATAGTGTTTAATAACATATTTAGGGGACACTTGCTTTAGATAAATGGATTTTTCTTACCTCCAATGATTTCATTTAAGAACAATGCTACTTACAAACACGTTTAAAGAAACAAATTAGTCATCCTTTTTCTGTTAGCACAACAAAATGCCAAAAATTGAGTAGATTATAAAGAAAAGTAGTTCCTTTATCTCACAGTTTTGAAGGATGACACTTCCAGGTTGGGCAGCCCCATCTGTTTTTTCTTGGTTGAGAGCCCCTGGGTGTGTCTCATCATGATGAATAAGAAGGAAGGGAACCAGCTGCATGCTGAATTGGCCAAGCATGCAGTGTGGTCACCCTCTCAAACCACTCTAAGGAGAACTAACCCACTCTGGGAGACAGCAATAATACCTTATGGGGGCAGCACCTGCAGTGACCTAAGGACTTCTAAGCAGCCCTACCTCTGAAGGTTCCACTACCTCTTAACATGGCCACACAAGGGACCAAGACTCTAGGACATTACATGGACCTTTGTGGACAAACATCCAAACTTTAGGAATTCTCATCTCTACTTTTTAATTTACAGAAATGAAGTCTGAAATATTTTTAAATTATTTTCCTTTAGCAAAGGATAACTTAGGTAATAACAGCATGATTAAATATTTGTCTATGCAATTCATTTTGGCCACTTTGTTCACTCTTATAACTGACCTTGAGAATGATAGACCCTGAGTAGTCACTGCTCTTCAGTCTTGGCCCCAGATTAAACAAAATCTGCAGCAAGCTCTGTGGTCTGTATTAGGTCCACAAAAGTGATCCCTGTCTAGTCAACACAATGATGAGTATGGAAATCTAGGGTCATGAGAATATATGCCAGTAGCTTTAAGCCACTGATGTTTGAGTGACTGGTCACTGATCATTATCATGCAAGTAATCACTAGTATTGTATTCTCACATTCATTCCTTTAGATTAATGTTTTTTATTAAAACTTGTGGCCTTATTATCAATATTTAATTATCATTTAAGGAAGATATTGATAAAAATCAAAACTAAAGAATATTTTAATGAAAGTATGAAATTTATATCATTTATGGAAAATATGATTGTGGGCTTTTAATAGCCATATAGATGAACATTTATTTGATACATTAGTGGTTGTACATACTTTTATATGCAGTTATTTATAAGTAATTAAGGTTAAAACTCTAGATGTATTAGGGCATTTCCTTGTTTCTGAATTATTTCCACATTTGCCATTTGTTAGACAATTGTATGGAACAGTTGTCACACCACTGTATTTTAGGGATGCCCTGGAATAATGGAAATCACACAGGGTAAATTCTAAGGTAATAAGTAAACTCTAGGGCCACAAATCATGGTATCTCTGCAAAGAGAAATTGACAGTGCAATGGCACTGAATACTGGTTTTGACAGATTATCAAATCTTTAAATAAATTTAGCTGAAGGATTGTAGACAAAATTGTTTTGGAAAAGCTATGACTGGACCTTTCACAGTAAGCCAAAGTAAAACGTAATTATTTTCCAAGTGAATTCTCATCTGAAGATCATTGCTAAACAGGGAGATCTCAATTATTAAAATTAACACATTGATTTTAGTCAGTCACCCTTTCCAGCTTTTCCAATGAGCTGCATGCACATGCTGGGTAATCCAGTTTTCAACTAGTCAAATTTCACATGGCAACTCATACTTCTGAGCACCCAGTTTGCCAAGATGAATGACCACTTCTGAATGACTAACGTTGTATCACACATTAGGGGATCAGACTAACATCTGGTGTCCATTTGATTGCAGTGGGTTAGCAGGTCTTGTAGTTCCTACCCAGTGTTGCAGGGTTGAGTTCATACCTTCCTGAAGGCTGGTTATGTAATGAGGGTCAGCGCTTTCTGAAGTGGGACTTTTCCTCTTTTTCTTTTCAAACTGATATAATCATTTTCTGGGCATGTTTTGCAGGTCTTAAGATTCCTGCAAGAGGCCTTTGTCCCTTGAAAGCTTCCTTTCTTGACAAACAAAAGTCTCAAATTACTTATTAATTCTAAAATGACATTTCTAAGTGAGGCCTGTGAAGGAATATAATCCTAGCATGGTCTTTAAATTTTTGAGTTTTCTTTCTAAAGGAGCTGTTTTTAAAAGGAAAGAAGTAGGCAAAACTTACCCTTTTGTCCAAAGTAATAATAATGACAACAACAGAAACATGGACCACAATGCCAATTGCCATTCATTGAGATTTTGAAGACTTAGTCTGTATTCTAACCCATACTGTAGACTTAATGACCTCATGCAATTAATCCAACAGAATCCACTACAGAAGCACAATCAGAGGTTCTCAGGTCTGATGTTGTTCAAGATGCAGTGTTTTTAGAAAAGAAAGTAGAAACTGTCTCTGATAATCTGACTTCAGGGCTCCTACTACTCATTAATGAATCAAATATATTTTCAAATAGACACAACTGCATATAATAAAGTATAATGGCTATAAATAAATAGAAAGTATACAAATTGATGAACATAAACATATGTGCCACCCTCAAAGCATTTCCCAGAACAACATATACATATTCTATCCAAAAAGCCTTCTAGTGCTCTTCCATTAATATTTCTGAATTTCCCTGTTCTTGAACTTCATAGAATTGGAATCACAGAGTAACTGCTCTTTAGAGTCTTGCTTCTTTAGGTCATCATATATTTTAGCTTCATTAATGGTTTTTCTGCAGCACTAATTTTATTCTTCCATGTGATTTAATTCTCTTTTCTATGCATACAACACAATCTAGTCATTCTTCAGTTAATGACTTAGTTTGGGATACTACTGATAAAAATTTTAAGAACATTCTTATACATGTGTTCTCTGCTTTCAGTTTTCTTGGGAATTTTCCCAGAAATGGAAGTAATATAAGTTTAGCATAATTTTTGCTTTCATAAACACTGCCAATGGATTATAAAATAATAAGCATGTTTACCCATAAGCAAACTTGTTATTAAATTTGCAGATGTTGTCAGTCTTTTCCAATACTTGGCAATTTCAGACTTTTTATTACATCTGTATTCACTTAGGTCTGTTTCTGGACTAGATTAAGTGCAAAAAGAATGAGACTGGGCAGACTGCTGTCTGTCAGGATTGCTCAGGATTAACATTTATGTTCACAGTTTAAATAATATATTTTGTTTTGAAGTTGATGTGCTCATCTAATATACTGAGCCAAAGCTGCTCCTGGGCATCTCAAAACTGGCAGGCTGTACCCAGCCTTGCCCAGCCTCTGCTGGTTTGTTTTCCTCACAGTACAGCCCATTGCCCTGAAGATTTTATAACAGTCTTTGCAGGAGTTGGTCCCAGCCAGGACACAGCATGAACAAGAAGGCCTCTGCTGAGCTCCTGGGCTCCTGATGCTCTGCCTCTCAGGGGAGAAAGAAAAACAATGGGAAATTTTTTTAGGATATTGTGATCAGTGCTGCATGACTCTTCAGGGAAGCACTCTATCTCATCACTAATTATGTGTATATCTGTTTTTATATTTCCCATGTCTAATGACAGAGTGACCTCCAGATGATCCAGTCTCTATCCTCCCTGTCTGTATCTCTGGAAAATAGAATCACGATCAGTTTTTGAGCCAGTCAGGGCATCAGTAATCAGTTAGCCTGATATCAGCAAAAACTAGAGAAAGCTCCTACACTCCTGATGTATAGGGTATCTAGTTTCCAATCTGGGTTCCCATTGAGGTTCAGTGGCAGTGGATCTGGGGCAGATTTCACTATCATCTTCAGTAGTCTGGACACTGGAGAGGTTGCAGCTTATTGCTATCAACAGGGTTATAGTCCCCCAACCCCCACATAGTGTTTAAAGCCATAATATAAGCTACTGAGAAATGTGTTTCCAGATGTGATGGCGATAATTGGAATTTGACAGTGGACAACCCAAGATGGTCACTAGTGCCCCATACTAAGTATTTTTACAGTTGGGGAAGCCCATAAATATGCTTGCACACACTTCAACATATTATCTGTGAACCTGTGATTATAGAAAGAAAACTTTATTGTCAGAGATTAAATCAACAAGAGATGAAATTGCATAGATGGTGTTATAGTTATAGTACATAACTGTGTATAGTATATAACATTATATAGTATATAACATAGTGTAAAATTTATAGTATATAACAATATATATTATTTATATAGCATGTAAGTTATAGTATATTAGTCAACTTTCTCATCACTAAGACAAAATGCCTGACTCCCACAACTCAAAGGAGGAAAAGTTAATTTAGCTCATGGTATCTGTCTATGATCAGCTGACTCCCAAACATAGACATCACAGGGAAGGGTGTGGCAGGGCATAGCTGCCTGGGTTACTGCAGTTGGGAAGAAGAGCACAGGAAGACTGTATGGTGCCAATTAAAATTACAATTTATTAATCTATTCTTTTAATATTTCATTACAAAAATGCAACAAACAGGTATATATTTGTTTAATTGTTTAATTTATATCTTTCTAGGTCAAACAAAACCTGAGACAAAATTCTGGGATGGGAGATTTGCTGATTCTTCACTTGTTCTTGATTTCTCAGAATCAATAAGAACTGGTCTGAAGGCTGCCGGACCCAGCTCTGAGCTCCCAGTTTCCCAGATTCTCATCCTGGCTGATAGATCTTGATTTGGTTCAATGCCTGTGTGGGTTGGGCACTTTCCTTCTCTGGTACTCAGTCTAGGCTTCAGGAGAGCAGCTGCTTCCTCGTCAGCTCAGGGCCAGAGCCCAGCAGCTCTCTGCAGTCCAAGCCTGATATCTGGCCTGGTTTGAGGTCCCTCTTCCAAACTTTCTGTATTAATTCCACTCCCTGAAAGTCTGTATGGGCTCATTTGCACAGGCCTCATATCCATACTTTCTGTAGAAATTGATGCCATTTTGATAATTAGAAATTTG